GGATTCATAGTCTGGAAAACTCAGGGAAATGAGGTGGTTTAGCCTGGAAAAAAGGAGGCTTGGGGAGACCTTATTGCTGTACAACTACCTGAAAAGAGGTTGTAGCAGGGTGGGTGTTGGTCTCTTCTGCAAAGTAACAAACTATAGAATGAGAGGAAATGGCCTCAAATTGTTTCAGGGGAGGCATTACCCCTCTTCCTTTCCCTGTAATCTGCAGTTTATAGCAGAATATTTTTATGTAAGTGCCATAGCTAAAGTAGATTATATGGCTGTGTTGTAAAATCCAAATGAAAATGCTGTTCTGATGGCTCAGCATTCACCAGCATTGTAACTGAGCTATTCAGTTCAAGGAACAGAGGGTGTACATGACTGGAGAAAAACGGATTAGAAGGTTTGCAGGCCTTGGCAGATTAAGCACGTCTCCTTTTCTTAAAAATGAAATTAAAATGTTTCTTTTCCTCAGCCTCCCTCCCCCTTCCCCATCAGATGAATCCTAGTGACAGTTCTAAGAACTGATTATCCAGGAAGATACTATAACACAGAATGGGATAGTGTGTCTAGTTCCAGAAGATAATGTTAAAGATTAAAGAAAACTCAAAACTTATATTTTTAAACAGTTCTGAGCTCCTTGAAGAGACTGCTACTAATTACAGCATCGAGTTGTGTGGCAATTATCATGAAGGTATGACAGCCAAGAAAGAACTGCATTAATAGTAATCCTTTATTTTGTGCATAGGCTGCTGAGATGTAATGTCTTTATGTAATGACTTTAGCTTTTCTTTGATTGTTGAACTAGGGGCAGCCAAGGTGGAAGAGTAATGAAGAGGTCATCATCCTTCTAAACTATTCACACTACTTTACTGGAAAGCTGGGAAGATGCTGAATGGCCACAATCAGGAAGCAGACATCCTTACTTCAAATTTCCCTGCTCTTCTGAGTAATCAATTCATCCATACCTTAGGTTTGGTATTTCTTCAAGGTTGCCTTTTGTGTTTTGGACCTCAGATTTTTCCAATTTTTCTGAGAAATCAGGATTGTTCATGATAATTCAGACTATTAATTTGGAATATTTACAGAAAGGTGAACTATAATTAGGATCATTGTCTAGTAGGTTAAAAATCCTGTCTTGGATTTGCATAAGATACTGCTGGAAACATTTCATAACCAGACAGCAGGTTCACTGAGAGAGCCAAGAAAGAAGCAGCCCTTTTATCTTTTTAGCAGGACCGTGTCTTCAATTAAGAGAAAACTCATTTTTGAGTAGACGGACACTTCCTCCCCCTCTGATGGGGTAGGTTTAGAATTGGAAATTCTGTCCTTGGTTATACAAGGATCTGTTATTTTTGGTTTTAGCTATGGTGTTTTCTTTGAATTTTTGATTGTCAGACATCTTTTGTATCAGGAGCTATTAATTGTTACCTGAGGTCATTCTAGAGATTGTCATTCATAGAGGTATTGAGTGTCTACCTTTCTCTTAGTGAAGAAGGTTAGCAGGAAGCAAAGCTGCACAGATGCCTGCCTCTTGTTGGTCATCCTGACGTCCATGTATTACAGGAGTGGGCTGCGAAAACAGCCAACATTTAAAGATCACCAAAGGCTAGATGTGAGGGTATCTTTAACCTTTAAAATGGTGCCTCCCACAGGAAGGCAAACAGTGCAAAAAGAGAATGTTTTTACACAAATATTATTTCATTCTGTGTAAAGGGTCACAGGTAGTTAGGAAGGCTCTTATGTTTGGACCACCAGCTGAGGAAACTGGCTTCTAGAGAAGCTTCATCACAGTGGGGAGGAAAGCACATGAAGAGGCTTGGAAATAAACTGTGATGGAAAAAGAATGAGTGGGGGATTTTTTTCTGCAGTCTGCCTTCTCCATAATGGTTATTACAATGGGGCAGACGACTACATTTTGCGTAGACAGGTTTTTTTATTCCTAGCAGTTAATGTTTGCGGTCATTCTGTTTGTATCAGAGATATCATTTAATTGTTTTCTAATAGTTCTTCAAAAGTATTTCTTCAGAGAGGAGAAATGTGATTATGAAAGGATTTCTGTTAAATGCAGAAGACATCTGAGGTACTGGAGTGGTAGTAATTGTCTGAATTACTATTTGGCACTTCTAAGGGTATATGGAAGGTAGACCTGCTATCAGATTCTTTCATATCCTTGCAAGGTGCTCAGCATATGGATGGATTGGGTTTTGTGAGGTCCTGATGAAGCCAGCAAGCTAGGCCTGGTTTGTGCCAAATATCCTGTTGGCCCAAAAATATTCAAAGTTTGCATTTCTGGAACACTATCCTCTGTTAGTCTTTTCTGGTAAGTGGAACATTGGATTGTTTCTCAAGCGTGCTTAGTATTTAATTAAATCTCTATACCTTTGGAAATCTGTAACTGAGTTATGCCTCTCCTTCCATTCGCTCCATTCCTGAACTGTTGTCAAATCAAATGTTAACTAGTAAGGAAAAGGAAGGGACTGTTTAAAACACTTCTTCCCATTGGTCCTCTTGGATTTTCTAGCTCATAAAGAATCATAGAATGGTTAGGGTTGGAAAGGACCTTGAAAAAGAAGCATAAGTCTTAAACAAAACTTAGCTACGTGTGAAAGCAAAGAGAGAGAATTGATGGAAAAACTGCCACCCATGTGAGATTTTGAGGACCAGATGTTCTGAGGCAGAGTATCTTGGTCAAGAAACTAACAGCAGAAGTAGAAAGATGTGTCTTTCTACTTATGTAGGATATTGTCTTATATCAGATGGAGTATTTCTTTACTTTCCTTACTTCCCCTTTGCATTTTCACAGTTTTCTATTTTGAGGTTGTTGCGATCCAAAGAAGAAAAGCTATGACAGAGGAAATTGATCAGATTCATCACTGTGATTAGATGTCAACACTACCACATCTGCCTTTAAAAACCAACCAAACAAAAAAAATCCCACACAGATTAATTCCACTTGATCATTTGGTTACCATTCTCAAATATTTTTGGTGAATAATCTTCAGGCAGTGGGTGGTTTGTGAAGTATCCATTTCATCTGCTTGCTCTTGCTATTTTTGTTGCATGATCACTCATTGAACATTGCCAGTAGTTGCCTGAAAAATTGTTTGTGTGCTGTCTTGTATCTCTATCCTGATCTATTTCTGCAGCTAAACGCAGTTCGGAAACGATTCTTCTTATTATGCTTAAATGCACATAATACTTGATGAAGAGTTTGTTCTTTGTGCTGTGGTCATTTCTGATCAGGATTTGATTTCTGTTCTGTAGAGTCAAGTAAAATAAAATAAGAAAGATGAAAAATGGGTAGAACAGCAAAACTGCTTGCCCTGAAGCCTTTGCACAGGCGAGTCTTTTTCAATTAGTGCCAAAATGTGGAGCCACAGCTCTAATGTAATTGAATAAAAGCAGAGAAAGAAAGGCCAAACCCCCCAGGCTCTCCCCTTTTATATCTGTCCAAGTGAAATAGAAGAAAGAAGCAGTAACAAAGTCTTTTTTACCCAAGGTTTTTTCTTGCCAAAATGTATTTCTTAAAAATAAAAATAAAAAATCATTTTATTTCAGGAGACAAAATCTGTACATGAGAGAGATCCTGAATTGCAGAACAGCATGCATGTGAACTGAACTCTGTAAAGCCCAAACATAATGGATTATGAAATTCTATTTTATCCGAAGGCATCACTCAAGTATAACCTTTGGATTCATATTTCTAGGTGATACAGTGTCTTCTTTTGAATTTTAGATCTGATGTAGTTTCTGCCTATATTAAGATGATAGTCTTTTGCATACCTCAAAAGAATGTTGCATGAATAGATGCATTAACAGGTCAATTTTTTTGAATATGAGGATCATGGAAGTCACAAAAGAGTTCAACAGATACCCATCTATAAAGCAGGTTTCTTGTGAAGGAGTACAGATCTGCTTCTGCTCTATATTCTTGCATAACATCAAGCAGTGGGATGCAAATGTAAATGTGATCTGTGATCTGTTATGACTTCAGTTTTTGGTGTGTTGTGGTTTTGGTTTGGTGTTTTCTGGCTTTATGGGATTTGTGTGTGTGTGTGGTTTGCTTTTTCATAATGAAGTGGCTGTTCACCCCGGTGTGAAAATAATATTATTTTACTGCTAGAATTTGCTTGAAGAGCAACATTGTAACTTTCTCCAGTCACACAGTTGAAAAGGAATTAACAGCAGGACTGGCATAGTCTGCATGAACTGCTGAGAACTTATTCTTGTTTAATTAATATTCATTTATTATTTATAACATGATAACAAGATTCTTGTGGCTTTTGTTACATCTACTTTTAATTTTAGAGACATTTTAATTAGTTTGCATGACAATATTTGTCAACACCAGGTAAATAGGACCTCTAATATGACCTACTCTGTTTAGACTAGTTACTAGGCTAGGCTGGGAAATAATATGCAAACCCGTTTCTCCTCTCTTACCAGATCAGTTCCCAAAGTGACATAGATATTGTTGGTGTAGGTGATACCTTTAACCATGACATCACTTTAAACCCCTGGGCGACACGTATACCCTTGGGAGTGAATTGCTGCTGAAGGGAAGCGTTTGAGCTGAAAGTCTGAGACTTTCTCTACATTGGATTTGCTTCTGCTCAAGGGAGCTCAGCTGATGGGTTCAGTCAAGAATCCCTTATTTTCACCATCCTGCAGGCAGGAGCACTGAAGTGACTTTTTTTTCCTTTCTCCTGTCCTTTTCATTTTTTCTTTCCTTATCTTTGTCTGTTACTCCCCCCTTCCTTTCACTTGACACCTGTCTCTGCCTTTGGAGGATGCGGTAAGCAGAGAACTCTGCCCCTGTAAGAGACGAGGAGCAGAATATGCCTGCACAAAGAGGGCCACAGCAAGAATCAAACCTCTCCTGGGCAGGCAGGTGTAGGAGAGCTCCGTTGCTGCAGGCTGCTTTCTGAAGTGCTGTCAGCGGGGGTCTTGTCACTCTAGTACTAGAGTGTATAATTGGAAGCAGGTTTCTCTTTTCTGCCTTTTTTTTTTTTTGAGTCATCATGCTGCAGCAAATTTTGCGTGATATGTATATTGACCCTGAGCTCCTGGCAGAGTTGAATGAAGAGCAAAAGCAGATCTTGTTCTACAAAATGAGAGAAGAGCAGCTGAGGCGATGGAAGGAAAGGGAAGAAAAAGCACGAATGGAGGAGGCCATCTTGAGAACGACAGCGAGGCGCAACCAGAGTAAGATTTGTCACCTCCTTCTATACTTAAGAGATGGGGATGGCGGGCATGCAACTGGCTATGGTGCAGCATGCTTCTGGAAGAGATTACAAGGAAGAGTAGCAGCTGTCCCCATAGGCAAAAAGACAGTCTGGTGCAGCAAAAGTACCACATTCCTGCTCCCTGTTCCTCAAGGCTGGCTCTTTCTCCAGGGGAGTAGTTTAGCATGGGAGCAAATGGAATTGTTCTGAAGTGCCTCCTTCAATCAGGAGTCAGTACTCCTATTGTCTTAATGATAACAGAGGTACTACGACCATGTTTGTCCTCCAGTTCGAAGGCACTTTTCTTCACCTACCATTCCCACTAGGCAATCACCTACCATTCCCAAAAGGCAATCTTATCTGTGCTGTTGGGGTTTCTTGACTTTGCATTAAATGTAACCAGGTGGCTGGAGTAGGAGATAAATTCATAAATTTGAGTTTGTTATTAAGGGCTGTTTGCAAATATTATGTGATGTCAGAACAGCCATACCATATGAAACTAAATTTCCAACTGTACTAGTGAACACTCTCCAAAAGATTATGTCTAGGGAATGGGATAATAGTGAGGCAAGCATGTAAAAACAAACTGGCAAACAAAACAACAACCAAAAGAGAGAGAGAGAAAAAAAAACCACCAAAAAAACCTCAACAAAAAATACAAAAGTGTTTTGATGCAATATGTAGTTAAACTATGGAGCTCCTTCCACAGGCTGCTATGGATGCAAAAAAAGGAAGCAAGCAAAATCATGGAAGAAAACACCAAAAAATAACTTCCCAGATGTCATTTCCAAGTGTCTGGTCTTGGGTGCAAATAGTTTGGGATCAATGGAAATACTATTTCCTTGCTCTCTTCTCACAACAAGTGTCTTCCGACTCTCTCCATTCAGAGGATTGCTAGTCTGACTTAAGATAGAAAACATTTTCATCTTGGAAATGTCGGCATAGTAATTCTTTACCCAACAAGGAAATGTCACAGAGATATGTCAAACACTCATTTCCCTGTGAAATGCCAAAGATCTTATCCTGCCTTTAAGTCTATTAAAACTTGAATATTCAAAATTTCTAATAATTTTGGGCAGCTGATTTTACGAAAGCACTCTAGTAGCTCTGCAGTGTTTGAAGCATTGTTCATCTTAACACACCCATAGTAGAAAGCTTAGAGAACCTCAGTGCAAATAAATTATTGGGTTCAGTTGTCAGACTTCTTCAAATATTGAGAGCCCTTGAACCCTACAAAGTGCCCATGAGATACTTATTAAATCAAAGACTATTATAAAACTAGTTTCCAAGACTCTATTGAAGCATTTTGACCTTTATGAAATTACTCTAGAGTAAGATACAATGGTAGCCTTAAAATAAAGGGGGAATGTTCAGACCACCCTGATCGACCTTAATAGGAGTCTAAAAGGTCCACTCACAGATGGCAAGGTGTACACTGGAAAACCTTGTTCTGTTTAATTTCTATTTTCTTAATGTCAGTGTTCATACTATGTATGGTGCTCTCCTAAGAGGAATAGTGTCAAAATAACCTCTCTCCTACATCACAAAAACTTTGTTTATTTTGATTGATTTGTAGATGAGAGGAAATTAAAATTCAGTTCAGCTCCACATACTAAAACAAGATATCTTATATCTTTGAGATAATCTGTATTATGCTCATTCTTTGAGGAAGACAGATGCAGAAAAATATAACTGCAAAATTATTTGTGATGATTTTTCACAGTGTTGGCACCTAGATTTCCATATATAAATTATACAGTAGACATATTCAGCTTCCTACTACAGAGACCATTTTCTGGGTAATTAATTTTCTGATTTATAAAGAACAAGAGAAAGGAGAGCAGCAGACTAACCTATAGATTATATTTGCTCTGACAAAAGTATTCACAAATATACCTGGAGTTAAATTTCACAATATACCATTTCCATTTTACTGTCTTAAATGGCCAGTTTAAGGTATTGCTTAGTTTTGACTTTTGCCCACTGCTAGAAACTTCCTACTTCCTTCATAACTGTACTAAAGAATTGATCTTACTGATTTTTTTGTAGAGAAGTATTTGATTCAGATTTGCAAGTTAGAAATCTGGTTCTGTTGAAAATATATTTTTGACTTCCATGAACTAATGTGGGCCAGTTACAAAAGAAAACTTCCATCTTTTAGGCATGCTGGTCATTAACTATGCAGATTACAGATTTCTGCTTACAGTTCCATAATATGCTTATAAATGGTCTCATAATGGAGCTAGTTTCTTGTTAAAAAGATAAGTCTTACTGTGCAATATTCTTGCCTATATGACTCAAAGGGTAAGAGTAGATGACTGTAGTAATCCTTTCTTAAACGTGATTCTTTTTTCCCCTTCCCTAAAAGGCTTTTGGCATCAACATTTTTGGACCTTCAAGCTGCTTAGTTTTTCGTTTCCATAGATGTATAAGTGAATTTCCATTCTGCCCCTGCTACACAGCATAGAATATAGAGGGTTTTATTCCTGTTTAAAACTAATGGTTACCAGGAATTTCAGGCTACTGCAATTACATGTTCTTTATTCCTTTGAAACGGAGATATTTGAGCAGTTTCACCTGTAAGGTTTTGGTTTTGACCCTCTACTGCATGGCACAGGTTTTATGTTTGGGCTATTTTGTTGAAGCCAAGTGTTACTCTGGCTTTATAGAGATCTTTGTAGCCTGTCATATAGCAGAAAACAGAGGTGAGACTTTAATATCCCTCATGTTGTGCCAAGTTTTTGAAATTTTCTGACAGAATATATACAAATATACAGTTGTATATATTTGTGAATACAACATAATATTTGTATAAAATATTTTTTTTTTTACTAATTGAATCAGAATTATCTTTATAGGATTACCTTTCAAATCCTTCTAGTTTTGTCATAGTTTGAATAGCTATGCATGAAAACTTTGCCCCACTTCTTTGGGATGGGATGAGATAGGATGAGATAGAACAAAAAGAATTAGTGAAAGTGAGCACTTCTCTAATTAAAAATGCTCCAAAAAGTGCCTGGCCTTGATCTGGATTCCCTTTCTGCAATGGGTACAATTCTTCATCACTTCAAAAGCTGACCTGCAATGGTACATGTGAATCCAACAGCAGGAAAAAGGGTGGATTTTTCAAAGCAGCAGTGATTGTGAATCAAATTCTGATTTCCTACATTGACTTGAGGATATGGGATTCTTGTGCAAGGTTTAGATATGTTGTCTTGCAGAAACCACAGTTACAGAACTGGGGAGGAAAAATCTATTAGAATTTGAGCATCATTTGGGTCTTCTGAAAACTGCAGTGTTTAGTGCTTATTCAGGATTTAAAAAGTGTTTTGTACCTTTAATTAAATAATGACTGTGGCTTGTACTGAAGTAGCTTGACAAGTGAGTTGAATTCTTGGAGGTCTATCTTCATTTCATTTACAAATTACTCCTGGGCAGATCTTTCAGGAACATACTTTAATTGTAATAAAACAGGTTGCCTTTTCTTACTGTGCTAAAATCATTAAGGGAAGTCTCCTCAAAATTTAAAAATCCCCTTGGGATTTGCTGAAAGTTGACTGATGGGCAGCTTTGCAATTTACAAAGAAACATACCTATTTGATTAGGCAGGAGCCCTTTAACCACTAGAGTTGAGCTGGGAGTAAGCGAAGGACCCTGCCAATTTGGATTTTGACTTGGATGCAATATCCAGACCTGTCAGCATACCCAAAATAAGATCTCAAAAACAACTGAGCGTTAGGTAGCTGAAGGACAGACATGTGGGAGGGAAGATAATGCTAGGCTGCTACTGCTTATTCTGACATTTATTTATTGTGAACTGCAGCTCATGATGTTCATACATGATCTATTTGTAAACACTCTTGCTTACCTGTCCTTAACAAGAGTAGCTGTGCGAAAATTAGGTAGGCTTATCACAGCACAGCTAGAAAAGAATTTATTCATCTGAATCACATTTGTGCTAGAAAATCACTAGAGAATAGTTGAAGTTATTTGAAAGTATTTCACGTATCACAGGCAGGTGATTGGAGAATAGATCAGTGCACATGTGAAGGCCAGTGAATGCGTGTGTGTTTTGATGTGTGTATGAACAGTGAGGGGCTGTACAAGCAGTGATATTTTTTCTGGTTTTGAATTCAGAAATGTGTTCCTTGTTTATACTAAGGCCTCTCCACATGCTGGTAGTGCTTAGCTATGATTTTATCTCTTATAGAGGTATGCTTCTGGCAGTATTCATTCTCTGTCTCATTGGATGTGAGTTTAATGAGAAACATCAGACTTGAGTGTTTCAGAAAGAGCTCTGTCTTTTGTTTCCAATTTAGGTACAACTGAAAAAGTAACAGGAGAATGTTAGAATAATTTTTATTAGGGGAATAAGCCAACTAATTTGAAGTCATTGGAAAAGTTTTTCAATATAACATTCACAACTTGTATAGCAGCTTGTGATATGGTGCAGCTTTGTTAGTGCTGTATACCCTGGGGCCAGAATTCACCTGCTTGGAGTTCATGCTCAGTGTGGCTGTGTACTGAGATACGGTTAAACAGCAGCTTCTAAACTGTCTTTTCACTTCTCCAAACCTGGGGCTAGAAATAGACCTCCCTCCACCATATGACCTAAATATGTACCAGATGGAACAAATCCAGGGAGCCTTCTCTGCCTTCCTAGGATTTGGATCCATAAATCTGTGCTTCCTCTTATATCCTGCCCTGCAGCTAACTTCTCTGTTCTGCAGAAAAGTGACAGCAGAATTTTGTTGGCTACCTGGGCCTTATTACATTGGATTGATCCTCAACACTCCTGTTGTCTGAACATCTGGCATCAGCTGCTTTCTGAGAGAGGCTATTGGGTTAATTGAGCCACTGGCACAGAGAGCTTTCCTGTGTCACTCTGCAGCATTATGTTCCTCAGCCTGTCTGGCCACAGTGGTGTTAGATGGGCTTTCTTGTACGTACTAGTGCTCTGGTAATGATATGAGGTTGTGA